CAGCTGGGACTCAGGAGGCAGAGAATAGATGAGGGTGGAGCCAGTCAGAGGTGGTATTTACCAGTTCTCTGAATTACTCAAAATTTCCACTACTGGTTCTCCAGAACTGGTCAGAACCTACTGAATACCACCTCTGAGTAGCACATATCCCAACCTTCCCGAATACGTAGATGTGCCTGGACTGCAATACCCTTCATCCTCAAGAGCTGGAAATGCTGGGTAGGGTTTCTAGAAAGTTCCAATTGGAAACCATGGAACTTTATATTTTCCAAAATGGCAGTTGACCAGGAGGAATTGTCTTGTTTCAAATGTTACACGTGAGTACATCCAGTGGGGTGGCAGCACCTAGCCAACCTTGGCTAATCTCAAAAAAAAAAAAAAAAAGAAAAGCTAAGTAGCTGATTAGTATTTGGATAGGAGACCACCAGAAAATTTCAGGACTATAGACTGGACTGGAATTTAAAACTAAATCTTGGAAAAAGGCACCCCGAAAGTAGCCTTGTATAATTGCCAAAAATCTGTATTGCTATGGCCAGGAGGTCCCAAGGAGTTGAGTTCAGCTTAAAGGAATCTTTACTGTGTATATATGTGTCTGCAGGTGAGTAATGTAACATACATCTGTTCCACCCTTCGCCTATATGTGTGCATACTGCATACTTCAACAGAGTGTCTGGAGCATTCAGTTCATGCACCAAGGGTATCAATCTTGTACAGATGTGAATGAGAAGTATGAAATGAGATAGACTTGGGTAAGGAAAATAGTATGTATGCCACAGTCAGTGGTGGTTTGCAGGTGGTATGCTCCGGTACGGGTGTACCAGAGCCAGCCTGGAGCACCGGATACCGTTCCGGTACAGTGCTCCGGAGGGCCCACCCGCCGGCCCACGCTCCTTATTTGTCTTTTAAGGCTTCCGCGCACATGCATGGTGCATACAGTGCTTGCGTGATGCTCTGCTGAGCAGTGTTGCGGAGGCTCGCGGAAGCCTTGCTGACAGGTAGGACGCATGCGTGGAACCCACCACTGGCCACAGTACATACCTGCGTGATGTGTAGCTGCAGGGCTACCTACAAGGCACTGTAAGGTAAAAGTAAAGGTTCCCCACACACACATTCCTGACTCTAGGGGGAGGTGCTCATCTCCATTTCAAAGCCGAAGAGCCGGCACTGTCCAAAGACGTCTCCGTGGTCATTACTAAACACCCAAAGCGCAGAGAACGCTGTTACCTTCCCATCAAAAGTGGTCTCTGTTTTTCTACTTGCATTTTCACATGCTTTCAAACTGCTAGGTTGGCAGAACCTGGGACAAGTAACAGGAGCTCACTCTGTTACGCAGCGCTAGGGATTCGAACCACCAAACTGCCGACCTTTCTGATCGACAAGCTCAGCGCCGGCGCCCCTATACAAGGCACTGTAGTAGAGTCCAATTTTCCTTCCAAAACCCTTGAGACCCACAGACAACAAGTAAACTTTCCTGTTCTTCTTCTCTGCAGAAGATAATATCTTGGCCTCCCCTTTCCTGTTGTTTTGTTCATCCCTATGCTGAGCCAGTGTCTGGTGCTGGCTGGCCTTTCTTTCTGCAAAAGCCATCAGAGCGAGGAAAGCAAACTACCATCAGGAAGAAGCAAAAAGTGGTCCCTCACTTCTGCCTTCTGAATATCAGGAGGGGGAAGAAAGGAACAAGACACGCAAGCCAGAAATATGCAACACAGAACACATGGTGCAACTTCCAGCGGGAAATTGCTAAGGGACGTGAATATGGCTTTTATCTGGGGGCAAGATACTTGGCTCAGAGTGAGAGGAAACAATCTCCCCTCAGATCCTTTTGCATGGAACAGAGCTCAAATTGCAGATGTTTGGGGAGGGGGGAGGAAATCCAGCACCCCTATTTTTTGCAACGGGCCCCTTAACTCCTGTTTTCTTAGCATGATTTGGCTAAATTAGGAGTCAAGCAAGAGTCAGGCTTGTGGATTTCATTACACCCCCCCTCCCTCTTTCCTATATAATCAAAGCATTGTGGATGAGTGATGGGTGCCCTGGGGGAGGGAGAGACTTACATCTGGTAGTAGATTCAGAATGAGAAGCTCTCTGACCTAAGAACACACATCTACTACCTCAGAACATTGGGCAGAAATTCAATGAATTGGGCTTTCCCATCCTGGTGTGTTCCCATGCTCACAAAGTGTACTTTACTGTTTAACATGCATTCAGTGGCATATGAGAATTGTTCTTATCTCAGAGGAAGCAGACAATAGAGGTTGCACAACCTTTCTATAGGTAAAAGTAAAGGTTCCCCTTGCACATATGTGCTAGTCATTCCCGACTCTAGGGGGCGGTGCTCATCTCCGTTACAAAGCTGAAGAGCCAGCGCTGTCCGAAGACGTCTCTGTGGTCATGTGGCAGCCATGACTAAACTCCGAAGGGGCAAGGAACGCTATCACTCTCCCACCAATGGTGGTCCCTATTTTTCTACTTGCATTTTTACATGCTTTCGAACTGCTGGGTTGGCAGAAGCTGGGACAAGCAGCTCACTCCGTTATGCACCTGGGTACTTGAGAGACCGCCTGCTGCCAATTACCTCCAATAGATTAGATCCCACAGATTAGGCCTCCTCCGAATTCCATCCACTG